GGAATTTCCAATTGGGAACAAAGAAACAATAAAAGGAATATGAATGAATGGAGAATATATGATAACGGATCCGAAATGGGAATTGTGAAAGTTAACTCCGCAACACTTCGCCACAGCGCCCGCCTATCCTCCCGTCAGCAATCTCCTCGTCTCCAGCTTTCCAACGAGCCCTTATTCATCCCAATTGGTGCAGTACTTCTTGAGATGTGGCCATTGACAGGTGCTGTCAAGACCACATGAGACTATACTCCATGCTGAACCATCTGGGTATGGGGTTGAAATGCTCTGTGGGTAAAGGAGGAAGGTATAGCATCACTATCAGGTAGAAAAACGGCTGGGTTGTATGTGTGGTTATAGAGATCTGGAGAGGGGGTGAAATTGGCAGCGTGGTTGGGCATGGGAATTTTGCTTGGGGTTGTCGGGAATGATGGGGAAAAAATAAGGAATGAGTTTATGGAGTGTTGGATAGTGATAGAATGAGCATTGGGAGCGTCAGAGGGTATGTGGTGTATGTTGGTGGCCAAATTCCGCAGAATCCGACTTTTTGCGGTGCACGGAGTTGTCCCCAAAACAGCAGTAGAGTTCCCTGACACTCTGTCCCAGATCCTCTTCATCTTGTTGTACATGAAAGGAGGAGCTGCAGGAGCATGGGCAACACAGCACACAATCACGCTGTCATATCCATCCCTGGCCATCGACTTCCGATCCCTCCGATCCCTCCGATCCACTTCCGCTCCTTCCTCACTAACCTCGGAGCTCCCATATTCTGCAATCCCCTCGGTACCCCTCGATGGTCACCACCCCCTCCTTTCAATTTATTACCTACACCTCCCTAAGTACGGAGCCCCGAAGGCTTCCGGACAGCTCTGACGTCCGCTAGCGCACTCCCGCCTCCGCTGGGCAATACACTTGCTTGCCCTGCAAGCTCACCTTCGGGCCTATCCCTCCTTTCCGTTTCTGGGTTATCGCCTGCCTTTCCGCTAACCCCGTAACCCGACTCGTCGGTAATATTCAATTGGCTAATGTCTAAACCCCGTTAGCTCCACTCCGCTTGGCTCCACCATTTGCGGACCCACCCTCACTGTAACTATATATACTACACTTGTACATAGGTTACACTCCAGTAATAAAATCGACTAGAGTTTACCCTCTTCAGTTCTGGTGGCCAGTTAGTAAGTTAGGGCACGGACATGTTTACTAGGCACAGTGCTCCTGGCATAAGTCGCTGAGGCCGAAGCCCTCCGTCACGGAGACACTCCTTCGTCTCGACCCGGTCTCTGACAGTATTTTATTACTCCCTGACTAGTACACGTCTTGTATGGCACCAAAAGCCCCTCGCACTCGTTTGCAACTACGCACATTAGTTCCCAACTCTGCCTCACCGTCCCCAGAACCCTCACAGCCTGGTCCTAGTCGATTGGCAAGAAACCCAGTTGAGTTTCGAAGCTTTTCTAATCTTGAAACCCCTCTCCCATCAACCCCGATCATGCACCCCGTTAGGAATCGATCACCAGTTGCAGATTCCGACTTCGGAGACACCACGGAACAACCCATAGACCCCGTCCACTTCTTTGGGCTCGGTTCCGAGGTCCCCGACTTCGTCGACCCTCCTCCTGCTGATCCTCCCATCCCCACTGTCCCAACCACCAACGATGCTGAACCCATCCCCAACGTGGCTATTGCACAATTAGCCCAAGCCATTGCCAGTTTGGCTCGTCACACCGGTCGTCCACCACCTCCACCATCCTCTGCTCTCCGGACCAAGGTCCGTGAGCCCGAACAGTTCGACGGGAAAGATCCCCGAGAACTCCGAGTATTTCTGGTCCAATGTGAACTCAATTTCCAGGACCGTCCCCTTGCTTTTGCTAGCAACCACGCTAAGGTCATCTTTGTGCAGTCCTACCTCAAGGGAATGGCCCTTGATTGGTTCGAGCCGGATCTATTATTCGACCAAAATTCTACTCTTTGTCCGTGATGGATGAATAACTACCAAGAGTTCGTCAACAAACTTCAAACTAACTTCGGTCCTCACGATCCTGTGGGCGACACTGAAGTTCAACTAATGACCCTGGACATGAAGGACGGGCACCACATCAATAAATACGTCATCAAGTTCAACCGACATGCCTCTCAACTTCATGGTTACGGAGAAGCCGCGCTTCGTCGTTTTTTCTATAATGGATTGCCGGAATGTATCAAGGACGATATTGCCAGAGTAGGTAAACCTTCTACTCTTTCGGAACTTCGCACCTTGTCACAAACTCTCGATGCGCGCTATTGGGAGCGTAAAACTGAAGTTACACGTCATGCGAAACCTTCCTCCTCTAACGTTTTCGACAAGTCCAATGCCGCTTCTCGTCCCGACCCCATCCCTTCCTCCTCCTTCAACTCCGCTTCCGGTAGCAAGCCTCCGAAGGACAACAAGAAGTCCGAGGCCAGCTCCGCTAAACCGGACCTTTCGTCTAAACTCGGAGACAACGGCAAGCTCATGCCACAAGAGCATAAGCGTCGTCTTGACAAGAAACTTTGTATGTTCTGCGGTCAGCCTAGCCATATGGTCAAGGATTGCCCCAAGTCTTCTTCTCGCGCGTCTAAGGCCCGTTCGGCCCAGACCAAGGAGCAAGGATCCGCTTCCACAGAAGCAAAAAATTAGTCCGCACCCCGTGGACTCCGCACGGACCGGGGGTTGCAATCCTTCCTTCCGTGTGCTCAAAGAAGTGCGTTTAAACACGTCTTCCATCTCCGACTTATCCTCCCTCCATATTCCCGTTTCCTTTTCTCTTTCAAATGGTCTATTTTCCCCTCTCAATGTTGACCCTCCGGTTAATGTTCTACCCGTTGTAGATAGTGTTGCTGATGTACCACTCTCTCCTCCGCCCCCTCCGACTACTTCTGTAGATCGATCCACCTCTCTCCGTTTCTCTTCTTTCTCTCCCCCTGTCCCTTCGCCTCCGTCCAATGATGGGACACAAAATAAACTTTTTCGCTCCTATGAGAATGTACCCACACTCGTAGACTCTGGGTCTTCGGACTGCTTCATCAACGACACATTCGTAAGGAAGTTGGCCTTGAAGACATACCAGATTAAACCCCTACAACTACGCCTATTTGACGGTAGCACCAACTCAATCATAACCCATGCTGTTGATATTCCCCTCCGCTTCGCTTCCGGAAACATCACCCCCACGACTTTCTTTGTCACATCACTGGATGGATCTTGTTCCTTAGTCCTAGGACACAACTGGCTTACCCGCTACAATCCGTTGATTGACTGGGTATCAAGCAGTACTAGAAAGGTTGCTTCGCAACCATGACCTTGCTTCACGTGAACACTTTCTCATCACGAGGCCAATATTCACTTCATTTATCAGTTCGGCCAACTCCGGACCTGTTTATTTATATTCAACGCACAAGTGGTTGGGAGAGGCGAATAATGATACTGAGTTGAATCAGCGTAGTTAACAGACATCAGAAAAATCGATACATAATGATGAGTTGAATCATGAAGAGGATATTGTAAAAACGATGAGAGCTGCTCTAAGATAACTGTTTAGCGGCAAAGGCAGTCGGCAAAAGTGAAACGCACCTTCTCGCATTACCTCTGCCTTTGGTGCTTAACGGGAGAGAAGGATGGTCCAGAGAATTGTCGTTTCGAAGGGGATCCGCTCTCTGCACGGTCGCTGAGAAGGGGGGGCGGGTTCTTAAGCACGATTATCTCCTCCACGCGTGCGGAATAGGTCGCTCTCTTGCCAGTCTTACTTCCTATCAAATGACAGGCCAGGGTGAAAGAAGCCTGGACAGTAGCTCCTGGAAGTGCGGTCAAATACTCCGCAGGGGAGATAACACCTTGAATACCCTCACGGTATGCATGTAACGGATTCGTTTGCCACCTTTGCTCCTTGAACATTTTGTCTCGGATGCGAAAATTTTCCGGTGCCACTGGCCAATGTTCCAGCCCAAATTCAGGGCCCAAAAAGCCATCGACTATGGTTGAATATTATTAGCTCATACATGAAATGTGGGCAAAGGATTAATGGAGCAAACCTGATTCGTTGTCACAGTTATCACTGCATCCATCCAGATCGGGTAATGCTATGAGTCGGATTTTTGCTTCGCGAGTTATCAATGTACAGTGTACAGAAGTCCCATACCTTTCACCCTGCTTTCTGGAGTCTTAGGTTCTGTTCGCGGTGTGGTAGGCTCTGTTGGCGGCATGCTTGGCTCTGTTGGCAGCATGCTTGGCTCTGTTGGCGGTGTGCTTGGCTCTGTCGGCAGCTCTGCATTTGGCTTGAGACTTCGGGACACAGAAGGTTCCACCGTTACGCTAGAAGTGTTTCCAGGGGACTCTGTTGTTGATCTTGAGACATGTTTGTCGGAATTTGGACTAATTACGTACTAGCATTGGCCAATCTCACAGCAACAGGGTGGTCTCCAGGAGTGAGCTTATATCGCGTTTTTGCCTCTGCTATCATGAAGGCCCAGTAAGTTGCTTTGTCTAAGTTGTTGTCAGCCATGCCCACATACCTTCAATATCTGATTGTTGAGGCGTTGTCGCCAAACGAATCGTATCCCAGCAAGACTATCGGACAGTGTTCTCAGAGGACAGTAGTGAGCAGGATACAAAAAACTTACCTCGAACATTCTGTGGATGACCTTAACCTGGGGCCCACTGGCGCCTTCATCACTAACCAAAGAGTATGTGGGCGCATCACCAACATGCATCAATCCCTCAAAACTTTTGAGATTCTTGATGTACTGTGGGAAATCGCTGAATCCGAGCAGCTCATTGTCTTGAATCCTCTCGAGCCGTGCCCACGCATTTGTCCTTGCCATCGCTTCTTGCAGTGATACACCGAAATTGAAGTACTCCGGCATGTTAGACTCGCGAAACCCACCATCCGGAAGCAGCTTGAATGGTTGTCGTGAAAAGGCAAAGATGCCATGGAGGACGACGGGAGTGGGGTTCAGGTCGGCCTTATTGGCGCCACGAAGGCAGAGGACATGGCAATGTCGAGCTTTTGCGTAAATCCAGCCAACTTGTGATGCAATGTTGTCGTCACCAAGGTATAAACCAGTGATACGCCGGCGAAGATCATTGTTGTCAGGAAGAGGTGTCATAGATGCGAGGGAAGCTGGAGATGTTGTTAGTGGAAGGGTATACGATTGAGCGATGAGGGTTTATTATAACCATTTCGCATATATGCTTACTTGATACTACATGCGTGCTACTTTAGGAAAGCGCTTGTCCATGGGGTTACTACACACAAACCCATTAAGAAGTCAGGAGAAACACGAGATGAACATGTACAATTATGAGTACGTACTGTTGTTAATGTGCTACTTGATTTAGGTTTGGATGGAGAGAAGCACCGCGGGTTCTGAAACAGTGACAATTCCATGAGAACACTCTGGATGAGGAATATCTGCTGTCTCAAAGCATCAAGAGAGCTTTGCGTGGATCTAATTTTTGACAGATGTCAACATTGTTCATTGTCTTCCATCAGACAGGACTGATCGCATGGTAAAGCTGTTGAAGCATCAAAGATGCAGGGTCCTTGGCAGATGTCAGCATTGTTTATTGTTTTCCATTAGAAAGCAGCGAACACACGGTGAAGCCGTTAAAGCATTGAAGCTGATCCTTGACAGATGTCAATATTGTTTATTGTTTTCCGTCAGAGAGCGCCGATCGCACGGTAAAGCCGTCGCATCTATACTTCGGGGGCCAAATATCATCTAATTCATAGAAGAAGTCAGCATTGTTTTCCATCAGAAAGCAATGACCGAGAATGTCAATTTGTGGTGCCGGCCAGATTTCCACAAACTCTGAGGGGCTAACAAGTGAATTGACACGTACCTGCCGATGTTCAGTCTCACCAACGCGTACAGTTTTGAACCATTCCTCTAAGCTACGAGTTACAACATGGTGAAGGATTGGCTTTCACCGTTGACAATGGCGGAAATCATCGCAATCTGCAGAGAGCGCTCGATATTAGCATCAAGGATCGCTCAGCGGAACCGTGAAGAGATGTTATCTTTCATCCAAGCCCTTCCCAGTGATACACAAGCCATTTTCGAGGAACATCGTGATCGTAAGAAGTGTAGACCATCAAGAAATAAGAGGAAAGCGGACTCGCCAGCACCAGAACTAAGGAAAAGACTGAAGAACTCCACATCGAGCCGCTGCATCGATAGTGAAGATGCCCGAATGGTCGAGCCAGAAGAGGAACAAACCCCATTTCAAATCGATGACAATGACCAAAGTTATCCATTTTTGCATATCCCCACTGAAAAAGAGCTTCGCGATTGCCAGGCAGCCTTCCTAGATGCGATCTCCCCTGCGGCAGTTCGAGAGGTCACTTGCGCTGTGTGTGCACGGCTGCGATGGGAGCACGAGTGCATCGTAGTCGATGTTAGCGAAATTCCAAACGCACACCATTTGAAACCAGCAGATAGTCCTCCGGCCCAACATCTCATTTCCGGCATGCTGCTGGAGAAACACGGCGTAATTGAGGTCAACGGGAAGTCGCAAGCTAACCTGTGTAAAACTTGCCTTCAAGATCTTCATCGAGATAAAATCCCCCAATTTTCCTTATCAAATAAAATGTGGATAGGCGATATACCTGTCGAGCTATCTCGTCTCACAATGCCAGAACAGCTCCTGCTATCGCCAATTTATCCATGTTGCTTCATTTTCAAAATGTTCCCCAAAGGTGGACCTAGGGATGATCCCACACGTCTACAATCTGGCTTACGGGGGAATGTGACGAGCTTTCCTATGAACACTGAAGATATCCTGAGTATGCTCCATGGACGCAAATTGCCCCGTCCTGTGGGGGTACTTTCCTCTGTCATATCCGTCACTTATGTCGGTGTCGGCCATCTGCCACAGCATTGGCTTAAGTCAACGTTTCGCGTTCGGAGGAGAGCTGTTTTGGAGGCACTTCAATGGCTGAGGAAACACAATCACTGCTTCTCAGAGTATACGATAGACGAAAATGTTTTGAGTTCGCTACCAGAAGATGATGTGCCTTTAGAGATAATGGCAGCAATCCGTCAGGAGACAGCGGTAAATGTTCTCCTGAAGGAGCATGACTCCTACATACCTGGTAACGGTGAGTTTGTCTTTGTACTCATGTGATTTAAAACTCAGCTGTTTTGTACTGATATAGACAGGGACGACAATGACAACACGAGTAGCGAGGAGGAAACTGCTGAATCTAATCAGCATGGTATGTTGAAACTCGTGCTAATTCCTGAACAGCAAACTTACGTGGTAACTCATCTGATTTTAGATGAGGGTGATGTCATTCCGTTGCAGTACCTTGGCAGTAGCCAATCTGAGCTCACAGCAGTGACCACATCCGAGCTACTAGCGGAGGGATTGACTAAATTATGCAAAGAGTCTGCAACGGACCCACCATACGCTGTTCGCCATGGGTGGAAATTAGTAAATGACTTTGGAAAAAAACGAGCCGACCAAGTGCCAGACCCTCGCTATCACACACCCCCTTTTAATTTTTGGGTGTTGGCGTTTCCAGTTCTATTTCCATATGGAGTGGGGGGAATCGAGGATAGGCGACCAGTGAACGTGTCCTTCACAGAACATATCCGTTATTGTCTTGAGCATCATTCACGACGATTTCGCACTCACCCATCATTTCCATTTGTCGCATTTGGAATCGAGCAAAGACGTGAGGCATTATCCTCTGCCAAAATTCAAATGCGAAGAAAAGACTTTGATCTTGATATGTCCATGCTGTCTGGAGTAACAATCGATGACTTGAAAGTTGCAAGTCGTGAAGAGGCCCAGGGTATTCGCATTTCAAGTCCAAGGGTACAGCGATTGATGAAACACATCCGCGTGACTGCAGGCCGTGTAATGGGCACAAATTCTTCTCATGCAGCAATTCGCAGCCAAGTATGGAGTACGACAGTGAAATATGGACCACCCAGCATCTGGCTCACCATCAATCCAAGTGATATTCATGATCCACTGGCACAACTCTTCCTGGGGAAGGAGATCGATTTGAATGCCCTAGACGAAGTAATCAGCAACTCAATTGATCGCGAGCGGGCAATTGCAAGAGATCCTTATGCAGCAGCAAAGTTTTTCCAATTCTTGATTCAAACGATGCTGGATACACTGCTTGGGATCCGTGTTAGAGGCCACCACATTAAATGAAAATGTGGTATACTGGGTTATATCCAAGCATATATTGGTGTTGTCGAGGCCCAGAACCGTGGTACTTTGCACCTTCACATGATCATATGGCTCCAGAATGCGCCAAGTGCAGATGAGCTTAGAGCAAGCTTCCTTTCCGAGGGTTTCCGAAACAAGATGAAAGCATACATAGAGGCTAATATTCGGGCTCACCTCCCTGGCATGGATGAACAGGCTTTACGGTCAATGGAACGTGAAAATGATATCGCATTTTGTCGCCCACCTCATCCTGATGCTCCCGATTTCCACGATGAAGCCACAGCACTCGAGAAACGTTTGATGCGTTCTTGTCAAATCCACACATGTAAAGTTAGCCTATGCCTTCGAGAAGATCGGAACACTCACCAGCTGAGATGTAAACGAGGAGCCCCATTCCCCTTATCTGACAGTGTCGTTGTGGATGAGAAAGGCAACTGGAAACCTCAACGTTTATATGGCTATGTGAATAACTACAACCCCCACCTCCTTGCCTTCCTCCGCTGTAACCATGACATTAAGCTCCTCACCAATGGCGAGGATACAAAAAATGTCTGTTGGTATATCACCAAGTATGCAACTAAAGCGCAAACAAAGTTAGCAAATGCATCGGCATTGCTGGCTCAGAACCTTGCCTACCACTTCGCTGAGGATGACCGTACCAGTAGCATTCGTGACCGCAACCGAAAACTAGTCTTCCATTGCATCAATACCCTCAATAGGGACACGGAACAATCAGGAGCCCAAGTGATCTCATACCTTATGGGTTGGGGAGATACATTCAGATCTCACCATTACGTTCCGTTATATTGGACCTTGTTTTCCTGTCTGTTACTTCATCAATGGCCAGAACTACGAAAAAAGTCACGGTACGTCAAAGCTAAAATTTTATATGAAAATTTAGCTCACCAGTTCATATCAGTGATGTTATCCAAGAGCGGGATCAGCAGGTAATTGAGGCCATGCCAAGCAGAGACCAAGACGAAATCGACCATATGCCAATTTCTGAAGATCGGGATGAAGAACCCCCCAACCCAGATGCTGCCCACACTTCTCACAGTGCAGATGCGGACACTGAGCTTTTAACACTAGGTCTCAGCCCAAGTGGCTCTCTGGTCACAAGGTCACAGGTAGATGACTATGTTTTCAGAGGTGATGAGTTAGAAGATATGTCGCTTCTCGAGTTCATCTCGGACACTTACGAAGTACCAGTCTGCAACGACAAACTTCAAGAGGGAGGCCAAGTCTCGACCGATTTGACTAGACGTGCTGGCAGACCTGCAAACATACGCAGCAAGTATCGCACTCAGCATCCTAAACATGCATCTCAAATTCGTGTTATACACACCAAATATCATTGCGCCATTGCCAACATCGTTGGGAAATGGCTTCCTCACTCCGACGATCCAGACAAAGCAGACTTCTACAGAGCTTCTATCCTCTGCCTTTTCAAACCATGGCGAGATATTAGCTCTCTTAGAATGAATGAGGGAACATGGAACAATACTTATGACTCATTCTTGCGGACAGCAGGACGTGACAGGGTCGCCATGATTGCAAACGTGCAATTCTACTATGATTGCAAGGATGCTGCAGAACGAAGATGTGCACCAAACGAAGTGGCAAATAGCTCAATTGATGCCGGAGATGGATCAGATGACGGTAACGGGGTGGATGAGAGCAGCCAAGGCATCGGCAGCGACTTAAGCGAAGCAAATCTGGAGGCTTTCATTCACGACCAACAACCTACGCGAGAGGTTATTCACGGCTTACAGGCAGTTGAATGTGCCAAAGCTGCAAATGTCTTCGGCCCGCAGACAGAGACATGGGAAATCAATCCTAAGTTTTCTGGAATTGGCGCCTACAGCGATGAGAGACAGGCCCTGTGGAAATCAGCAATAACGCGTGAGTGTCAGGGCAATACATACCTTGACACATCACCAGCAGAAATCCTTGGCACCGTTGAAGCCATTACTGGAATTGGGGAACAGATGGATTCGCAAGGCAGTGTGCAATCCCTAGGTGGGAGCACTCAAATTGCAACACAGGTAACAAATGATGCACGCCAGCTCCGAGTCGACCAAAGGCGAGCCTATGACATCATCACAACCCACAGCCTAAATACGATGAGAGGGGTTCATCAGGAGCCGCTCTTGATGCTACTCCTTGGCGAGGGGGGTACTGGGAAGTCCGTGGTCATTCGAGCTGTCACTGGCTTTTTTGAAGCAAACGACTCATCTCATATGCTTGCAAAAGCCGCTTACACCGGAATTGCAGCATGCCATATCGGGGGTAGGACGCTGCACAACTTGGTCAGCATTCCATTGGGCAAAAAAATGCCAACAGCACAACAAATTGCGGGCTCAGCTAAAGAATGGCGAACGCGGCGCTACCTCACCATTGATGAGTGCTCAATGATTTCCCGGTCATTCTTGGCGAAAATTTCCACAGTTCTTTGCCTCATCATGACTGAAGTCCACGGAAGCAGGCAAGACGAACCTTTTGGTGGTTTGAATGTCATACTCTGTGGTGATTTCCATCAGTTCCCACCCATCAGTGAGGGTACCACTGCACCATTATATTTGTTACGGATACGGAGTCTCCAACGACCATATCCGTCACATGGTCAAAGACTTCTCCTCATTATCGTTCCTCCCCTCTTTCTCCCTTCCGTCCTCTATCCCGATACCCCATCCTCCTTATCCGTTCTACCCCTTTCCCCCCCCCTCATGCAAAGCTTTCCCCAACTGGGGTTTTGGTGCTGGCCGAGGTTATTTGTGTTTCGCGGGATTTCCTGCGACCTTACCATTTGTAGATAGTCACGCGTCTTGTACGGAAACCGCCGAAGGCGGTTCCCGCTAACTAACAACTGCTCTACAACTGTCTCGTGTACCGTCTTCTGTAACAACCCTCCCTGTGACTCAACTGAACCTGTGTGACTGTACAACTCTCAATATGTCTTATAAGTCTGGTTATATCGAGTCCTCTAACGGCCCTTGCCGCGAGAACTCGAAGTCGAGAGTCGAAGACTCTCGACGTGTGTATCGTCCTATTGAACCTGTACCCTATGGGTCTTCATCACTCCGCTCTCCCCCCAGTACTCAACATACGACGTCCCATCACGATCATGGTGATCGTGAACACTATGAGGCCCACTTACCCGCGATGCCGGCACGTTCGCTACGCGAACGCCAAGTAGCCGCCCATCCACCATCTGTTTCTTCCTTTGCCAGTCATCATATGTCCCCGCCAACGGTACGTTCCCCTTGGGAACGCCAAGTCACCGAAGGCCCTAATAGTCAGCCCTCATTGCACGCCTACGATATCAACCTGCTACCGGTACGTTCGCACTGCGAACGCCAAGTACCCGATGGCAACTACGCGAAGCTCTCACCCATCTCACCAGTCGCGACCTCGCACACGGTACGCTCCATTGAGGAGCGCCAAGTATCCGTGGCTGACCCATCTGTCCTGATATCTCCGACTATCAATCATCAATCCCTTAATAGCTCACTACATCACCCATCGCGATCGATGGGAATTCGATCGTCCACTCCCAGGTCAGACTGGGATCACTCATCGATTACACTTCCAGTTATGGTACAAACTAGACATGACTCTCGTCTTCCCACTATAAGAACGGATCAAGGAATGGGGAATTTCCCCCATCCCCATAACAATATTGGTCTCCATCGCCTTCAGATTCTCCCGAGGCAGCATTAGGGAGTATTCTGTTCACGAAATTTAAAGCCGTCGTAATCTTGAAGGAGCAGATGAGAGTCTCAGATCCAGAATGGGTTGAGCTCCTTCGGCATTGTCGCTATGGAACGTGCAACAGCCAGCATCTATCCCTACTGCAGAACCTTGTTCTATCGTCAAAAGAGTGTCCCTCGACAGAATTTATAAACTCACCCTGGCGAAATGCAAGGTTGGTGACACCTCGACATAGCGTCCGTGAGCAATGGCACTCAGTGGCCCTGGAGAATCACTGCAAACAAACACGTCAGCCCCTGTTTTCGTGTAGAGCTGAGGACACTGTCAAGAAGAGGCCTTTAGACTTGCGCGAGAGGTGGTTCCAGGCGGTGCAAGCGAAGCAGTGCAAATCCAAAAGGAATACGGTCCTGGATGGCACAAAGCTCCTCGATGTTGTTCACTTTGCTATTGGCGCAAAGGTCATGGTGACCTTGAATGTAAACACGGATATGAACGTCGCGAACGGTACTTGTGGTGAAATCATGGAAGTCATCCTTG